GGATCAGCTTCTCACAGACACGGAACCCTTAAAGGGATCAGCTTCTCACAGATACAAAACCATCAAAAGCCTGGGTATTCTATCTTAAAAGTTAAATATGGAAACTGCTAAAATACTGTAAAAATATTTTTGCATAAAACAGAAGAACAGTAATGCACTTCATCATGATTATCAGGCCCTCAACAAAATGCGCAAAACATTTCTGCCCGTGGGTTAAGCACCCAGGAGACAGACATCCTTCACAGCGATTCTGTAGATTCTTTCTAAAGAGCAAACGCGCAACTCTAAATTCAGCATACATGAAAAGCTAAAATTAAGGATAAGATGCACAAAAACCGCCAAATCCTTTAATTAAAGATTGAACACAAGTCAGCCAGTGAGAGCAAAAATAAGGCTTGGGAGGAGCAGTGAGCAGAGCGCAGTGCCTGACCTTCTGACTGCACTGGTTCTCACTGACGGCCAGCTTTTCCCACCACAGCCTGCGTGTGTTTATACGTACATTTGGTCCTACTGCCTTAAGGCTGTGAGCCTTTGCCTGTACTTGTGTATTTAAGCTACTGACATGATAATCTGTAAACACACTCAGAACATTTTCACCTCATCTGAGGAGCAAAGCTTAGCCACACTTTCAGGTTATACCCCAGGGTACTGGAACCGGAGACACCCCCACCTAAGTGACCGTGAACACAGCTGGATACTAACACCAGGTGACCCACGGCACCTCCCCACTCCATCGTTCTGCATTTTAACAGTTGACAAGTGCTTCATGCCTCCTACAGACATTTTGACTTCATCATGAAGCTGGACACTTCCTGAATTCACCTAAAGGGGGCAGTGCAGGACCCAGTCAGACCAGGTGTGTGCAAACGCGATGACAACGGCCGGGACCTGCACTTCCTGAAGCGATATACGAACTCCGCCAAAATGAGACGGAATTTCCAAAGAGGGAATGGGGGGCTTGCAGGGCTGTCAGCCTGGACACAGAGGCTGTCCTGGGGCCCAGCCGTGCTCCCTGCAAGCCGACTCGGGTTTAAGGAAAAGTGAGCTAGATCATACTCGCACGCCTTCAGGCACGAGCCTCACACTCACACGGGGAACACAAGAAAACATGGGGGACACATAGAGCCCTCACGCAATAATTGCTCTTGACCAGAAGGGCGGCGCCCTGCGAAACAAAGTTCTCTCTCTCTGATACAGAAGGGCTTCCTCAGCAGGTGACACCCTCCCCTTGGGCACGAGAGGACAGAATCATTTAATGACCAAGGAGGGGGGGGGACTACATAGATTAAGTGAGAGGTCCTGTACTGCACAGAGTGCACGATGAGACAGACCCCTCCACCCAAATGTGTCCGTGTCGCTTTGAAGCTACGTGCATTAGTGCGTGGACATGAGGCTGGAAAAACGGTTAAAGTAAAAGGTCACAAACGGGCCACTTTCCTGTGCTGAGCCGAAACCCACCCCCCTCCCCCGGGTCAGCCCAGGGGTCAGCAATGCACCGGTCTGGTGAAGTCATCTCAGCTTCAAAGGGAAGCAGCTTGAAGCAAAAAGAAGAAAGAAAAAAAAAAAAAGACGTATGGGGTATTTTAAACACTCACAAGCCACCACCTTTAAGAGAGGAAACCTTGTTCAGTAGCCGGGCCATTCCCAGTAACCGGGCCATTCCCAGTAGCCTCCCTCTCTACACAGGCAGCTTTTAGTGTCAGTCGGGTCCAATAGCTCCTTTGTACGTCAGAGCGGACAGGAAACGGCGCCGGTGGCCAAGAACAATCTCGCTCCGGGACTCTGGGCCGCCGGGGAAGGCGACGTGGTCTCAAGGAAGCCCGAGGAAGGAAGCCCGTCTATTAGCTGTGAACGAGGGGGCTGCTCTGCCCTCTCCTGCCCAAGAGTGCCGCCCACCTGCGTTTGGCCGCTTCGGAATAAATGGCCATTATAAGGCCGGCTGAGAGGATCCATTTATAGGCCTGCGTGTGTGTGTGTGTGTGTGTGTGTGTGTGTGTGTGTGTGTGTGTGTGTGTGAGAGAGAGAGAGAGAGAGAGAGAGAGCGTGTGTGTAAGGGTTTTCTTTTGCTTGAATCTAAACTTTCCATAAGACCACACGAAGTGATGTCATTCCAGAACTTCCCGTTTCCGAGTGCCGGAACTCAGGAGGTCTGAGCCCAGACCAAGGACAGGTAACAGTGGGGCACATGCATGCACACGCATGCACACGCACGCACACGCACGCACACGCACACACGGTCAGGGAAGATTTCCAGGTTATCTAGTCATACAAAACACTAGAGCGAGCAAAGAGGAACTTACACCTTTGTTCTGAGGCGGGTAGGCAGGGCTACTCATTACCTTTGGGGGAGCCTCAGAAAGACTGCAGAGATTATACCCCCCTGTTCAGAGATGACACCCGTCGTCAGGTCTGCAATGAGAGAGTAGGCTGGGAAGCGAAGGCGCCCCCCCATGCCCTCCAGCTGCCGCACTCGGCGAGGCTCGTTAGCATGCTAATGCTCAGCCGTCGAATGCAATTAAAATTCACAACGCGGCCGACTGCCAGCGCCTCTTAGGGGCTGAGAATCTGATCATAAATAAATAAAATGAGGTTTTTTTTTAAACATTAAAAAAAGGAAAAAGCAGCACACTGCCTTGAGGATAGGGCTACCCAGACATTTACATGGGTACAGATAAGCATGGCACCACGGGGTCAGAGGGTCAGATCCCACCTCTGCTCCCTGCTTGCCCTGCATGTCATGCAGGTTTCCTCCTGTGATCCAAAGACACTGCATGTGCCGTGGTGCCGCCTGGGACAGGGTCCAGGCACCCCATGGTGACCCGCACCAGGATGATGGTTGGCCTCACTGTTAGAGCTGGGAATTTTTATTGTGAAGGTACAACAGAAAGTCCCCTCGTGTTCACGGAGCGCTGAGGGACCCGACGGCCATCGTGGCACAGCCTTCAGCCCGGGTGCCGCTCAGCAAACATCTGGCCTAAGCGCCGGGTACCCAAGCATGCAGAGTTCACAGCTGTCGGTGCCCACAGCAAAACGACGGACTCATTCTGGGTTAAGTCTCCGGCGTGGAAATATATGCAAAAAAAAAAAAAGCAGAAAGGTAAACAGGGACAGCCATGCAGAAAATCCTCCCCAGATACTCAGCCGTACACCCCCACCCCACCCCCACCCACTACTCCAGGTGCAGGACATGAAAGCGCTGCGACATAAAATGGCTGCGTGGAGCAGCGGGGCAAAGTAGAGTACCATGCCGGGTTCCTTTAACGCGCTAAACCTGCGTCACGACGACGGGACACGGCAGACGCATGTAGCTCCACAGTGTCCATGATAGTGAGGATCTCAAGCACAAAAAGGCCAAACGCTGAAGCCCCCCCCCCCCCCAACTTTGCTTGCAAAGTGGTCCGGACCACCGCAAAGGTACAGAAGCCGGGGGCAGGACAGACTCTCGGTGCCCACCCTTCTTTCCTCGCTCCTGGACACGCCCACCGGCTTCCTGTCCTGACATCAGCAGTCCCCCAAGCCATGGTGGTGCACCCTGGCCTGCACCTCCTTTGTTCCCACCCCATTGTCCTCCACCTTCCTTCCTGCCGCATCGTGTGCTTTTAACTGCTCTTTTTTTTTTTTTTTAATCACCCCCTGCCTCAAGCTCTCATTTCGCCCCTCATCCTGCTGCCACTGCCTCGCTCTCCAGAATGACTCAACGCGTCTGATTAACTCCAACCCCACGGAACGGCGGCGCGAGGGAAGACGAGGCGGGAAATGGCGCCCCCTACCTTTAGCCCCGATAACCCAGAGTCCGGCGACTCATCTCCACCCCCGCATGGCGTGAGATTGCTCATAGCTGGGTGGCTAGAACTCTCGCATTGCCAGCCATGATTTAGCTGTGACTGAAACTTCTGAAGGAAACACACTGTGAAATATTATATCACTGCAAAGGTGGCTGAAAGGGGAGAACAGCGCCCCCCAGAGGCACTTCGGGCATTCAGACAGCGTTAAGCCCGAACACTCCCATCGACGTTCTCCTGAAAATGAGACGTCCGCTATATCGAGACTGGAGAGACCAGCCTCAGGTCCAGTCGTCTCATTTTCACTCATCGTGTCCAGGTGAGTCAGCCTGCTCATCTTCAGTCACACCAGTACCGGCGCCTCCCACGCGTTCACCAGCTTGCCGGTACTTACATATGCGCTGCTCTTGCTAACAGCACCAGCTGTGCCATGTGACTCCTATGTAACGCGGAGCAAAGGAAGAAATCTGGAGATGCACTGCTTCAGCTGGCAGCCAGCTGTCCCATGTGACTCCTATGTGCCAGATACACAGCTACTGCTAACAGCATTACTTGCCTTACGTGACTCCTTTCTAAGATGGAGAAGACGACGAAAACTGGAGGTGCACTGCTTCAGCTAACAGCTAACAGCTAACAGCTAACAGCTAACAGCTAACAGCTAACAGCTAACAGCTAACAGCTAACAGCTAACAGCACTGCACAGCCCTCGCGTGACCCATTTCTTGGCAAAGGCAGCCAGCAAACCTCACGCACAGCTTCCAGGGAGCAGAGGAAGGATTACAGGGACAATACAAGCGGCAGTCTAATAAACAATCCACTGAAGGCAGATGGGGGAAAGAAAAACCTTTTAATTAAAAAAAAATGTTCTGATAAATTGTACATAAAGAAGCAAAGACATCAAACAGCTCCACTTCTAGTTCTGCCCTTGGCAGAGATGGTAAAAAAAGAAAGGATTTTTGATACCACTGCCCCCCTCCCCCCGAGCAAGGGTGCGGTGCAGTCTGTGTATATAATATATATGTATATATATATAAAAAGAAGTGTTGACAGCTACCTACTAAGTGCAGAAGAGAGTTAATACGTAACATGAGTCTCCTGTGAGGCGCAGGCTGGATTCACTCTGCTGTTTGCAGGCACAGTAACGCCCCCCCCCCCCCCCCTCCCGCTAGTGTTTGTTGACAGAAACGGAAAGTGCCGCACAGAATTCTTACCCTTCTTCACTTTCTTCTGAAGCTTCACTGTGTCAGAGGACTTCTTCTTGATGTCTGCCCTCGCCTTCTTGTATTCTGCAACATGCAGCAAACGATTAAAGGAAGATTTTCAACTCTAATTCATATAACTTTAATTCATATAAGACTTCTAACCTATGCATGAATACCACACAAAACATGATCTAGAATAAATTTTACCGACTTAACATATTTAAAAATACATTTGAATTTTTTTTTACAACCTCTGTTCCTTGATAAATGTATAAAACTACCCCATACTTGAGTTTTCTGTGGCGTCCCCAGAAACCTTAAAAATTACATTTAAAACATTACAATAAAACGTAAAGCTATTTCATCACAGATGCATTTACAATCATAATCCTATAACCGATTTATTTATAAGCTGATCACTTATTGACTTGTATTTGCTAGTCTCCCCTAAAATCTGGAATTTTAAAAATGTACTAAACCCCCCCCTTCGAGCTCAGACGTCCAAATGGCATGCACACCTTTGGCATGGTCCTTGTCTAGCTGACTTGCCACCTTCTTCCACTCTTCGATTTTCAGCTCCAGGGGTGTGATGAGATTCTCTGTAAGTGCTCTGTCATGACAAACAACGGTCAGTCACAATTTAATCACCTCCACAATGCATATATCAAACAATCATTACATTTCATCCTCACTTTGAGAAAAGCTTTACCCATTCTTAAGGCGCTTTTCCACCATACCAGGTGTGGTATTTTTGGTAAATTCCCTATTCCAGTGACTTCTGGTAGAGTATCAGTACCAAAAGTTCTAGTACCTAAAATACCAAACAGGCTGGGCTACATTTTTGGTACTTTGGTGAGAGACTTGCAAATGCTTCATTTGTTGATTGATTATACAAACAGTCTGTGTGTGAAATGCAATACAGCCATCTTGAAAAAAGTTGCTCCAAAACTAACAATTAAAGTTAAAAAGAAATGTAACAATAAAGAAAAGACCCAAGCTTTAATTGCAATCTGGTTGGAAGAACAGAATCAACATGATCAGCATGGCATGACAAGAAAATTAAGTCATTTATGATATACTAGGACAGCAAGGTATTATTTTGTTGTAATAAATATTGGGGTATTTATAAAGCAAAAAAGCATTTCAGCATCAATTTCTCACAAACCCATTTAGGAGTGATTTAAACAGCAAGGACGAAAATTATTATGATTGTTTCGGTTAACACATGCAGTGCATATAAACAAAGTGATTTTTAAACATTTTAGATAATCTTGAAGAAATAATTGTTAAAATTGTCATAGGGAAAAAAGCAAGTTTTGCAGAGTAAATAGTAATAGTTTGCAATAGTAAATTAGTAAGCCAGTGTTTACACATTAAGAGTGGGCCAAGTTCTTGCCTAGTTGACCTGTACTGACCTTTGCTCATTCCAAAGTGGCTTAAACACTTTTCATACAGTTATACCATTTTTCGAGAAATCATGTACTGTATCACACAGACCTAACTAGGCATCAGACCCTACGCCATATAAGAATACCCATAAACAGGGCAATACCAATAAATGCAAATGACAAGGTAGCCTGGGTGGGATGCAAAAACTCCATCAGATGCTCAAACTGATTGGAGGAGCGTACCTCAGCCCCACGTTCCATCTCATTCTGAAAAACAGATACAGGTCCCTTCTAAACTGGAGTACCCCCAACTAGAGAGTTCAAAATGTAGGAAATTTGCATCCAGAGAAATCAGCTCCTCAGTAGAAACCTTCTGCATTCTCAGGCAGGTTAAGGTTAGGGTTCAATCAGACTGTCCCAGTGTTACACACCAACATCGCATCTGGCGCCAGAATTCAGAAACCACATGCGCACCCAATCAGAGGTCCCGGCGCACTCCCAAAAGCCCAGCATCGATCCAGAATGATGCTGAAACAAACCACCCCACCATCACGGCAGCAAGCCTAGGAAGAAGCCTGTGATGGACACTTAACCACAGCATCTCTTCAGATGAAATAAAAAGCGTATTTCATTAAATGGTCTGATTATTACTGTGTTTATCATCCCTTGACCTTCTGATTCATTGGGCTGAAAGCCTCCTGTCATCATCTCAGTGATGAGCCTTCCACTTGCTTATGGATCAATTACCTTCAGATTAACAATGATGTAAAGAGTAAGTCAGTCTGATACTGCTGGTTTGAAAGGAGAGCCACCAGCTTTGGAACTAGTACTCAGTGCCTACTTCTCAAATAATTCACGCTTTGACAGCCAATCAGACGCAGCAGGAAAAGCCAATGTGCAAATTAGGGTAACTTACGTAGTAAAGAGCTTGAGTTTGGATTCGATGCTTCGGTGTCGCATGCACATTCTTGTCAGAGCAGAACCAATCTCTTTAGTAGCTCCTGTAGGAGAGAAAGTGTGCAAGAATTCAATATCACATGGTCGAGGATAGGAGAAAAAAAGAAACTTAAAGCTTGAAATCTTGAGCATGATTCAAAACAAAGGTCCACAAGGTCTACTTCTACAAAGCTGTTAGATAAATGGCTGCCACAATCCGAAGACGTAATGGTTTTCAAAGATCTGTGAACCTACCTGAATGTTTACAGAACTGAGGTTTGTGTTCATCATAAAGCCAGTCAAGTGGATGTAAAGGCCGATTGATTACTGGTCTCAACTCAGGTCATGAAGGTACATTTTAGGCAGCATGTGGAAGGTCTGGTAAGAATCATGCATGCTCTCCAAACCCTCACGATGCTCAGCATTAGCGACAGTCCCGTTTGGTTCAGGAAGAGCCCATCTGCTTCTAATGGTGATCACTTAACTAGTATCAGCCGTGGCAGAAGGAACACTAAACACCATGTAGTGAAAATACAGACAAAACAGGATGTTCTGTTTTTCTATTTAAAAGAGCCCAGACAGACGGAGGTCCACCTCCGCTGCAGTCATATTCTCCTCAACGCAGCCCACCAAACCCCTCCATGCACACCCCCAGCCATTACCCATGCTTCCTCTCCTACATTCTTGAATTATGAGCCTGAAGATGAGTCGATTGATATAATTACACCCCCCGTCAAACAAATGGCACAGAACAATGCTGGGGGTTCTCTAATAAGTAACAGTCAGAGAAACCAAACAGCATGAAGGTTACAGGCTGGTAGCTGTGCTCAAACCTCTGGCAGAAATCGACTGTGATGCCAACCAGAAGTGCCTCATCAGATACATACATCAGTCCAACCATCCATAGATCCAGCGCCCCCTGAAAAGATGGGCTAAAATACGTGCAAGCTGCTTGCCAGACTGTCAATGGACGGGAGGACATTTCATTTCAGCCAAAAGGAGTCCATTCCATTTTGCAGATCGAGAGCGAACCACAGGGAGGCCAATAGCTGCAGTGCCTCAGTGGGCTGGCCTTGACTTCTGGCTTCCTTCTGAAGTTCTGGGGGGGGGTCAGATCTATTCCGGGGGAGGGGTTATGGTAACGGGGGGGCAAAGATATCCCACGGCTGCCCACTTGGAGCTGCTTTTCAGCCTCGCCAGAGAGGCCGGGCTCACACACAGCCTCCACTTCGAGGCCAATAAATAGGCCATTGTGGCACCTTGACACCAAATACAGAGCACTTCCTAAGATGGAGGAGCCTTATGCTGAAAGGGAAGATTATACACTACTGAATGAGTGAGC